TCTATATCCTTGACCAAGGCTTCAAATTTGTTTATTAGGTGGAGAGAGTTGGGATGATGCCAGTGTTATGAGGCGTCGTAGTTGATGCCTGGGTCTCTGGCGGTGTTGCTGCTAGTGGTCGTATGGCCTCTGTTGTTGTTGTTGTTGTTGTTATGTGTAGGCCGGGTGTGACAGAGTAGGGAGTGGGGAGGATTGACCTGGGAATGTTGCGTGGGAATTTTACTGGGACCATCTGCATTGGTGATGGGATATCAGGGTGTGACTTCACTTGAGGAATGATACCTGAGCATGTAACCTGAGCCAGGAAGGGGCTGGGGCCAGGTGACACCTTCTGCCTGGAAACTGGAGGAACAGCCGAGGGATGTGGCTGGTTGAGACTGTGGAAGCAGGTTTCAGTTTGGATCTGGCTGGGAAAACGGAGGGAGACCCAGGGCCAGGGTCTAGGCTCCCTGTCCCCCAAGATGGACCTGACTGAGGGGGTCGTTGACTGTACCTACAAGCCCTGTTTTGGACTACGTTCTTGTCATCTAATAAACCTTCTGTTTTATTGGCTGGCTCAGAGTCACGGTGAATCGCAGGAAGTGGGGGGTGCAGGGCCCTGACTCCCCCACACTCGTGGGTGTTGGAAAGGCTGATACCTGTATTGTCTTCTTCTAGTTGCCGGGGTATGAATACCAAGGGATCCAAGCGCATCTGCGTAGAACCTTGTTGGTTTTTGCTGCAAATAACTTCTCGCCATCGAAGGGGAGATCCTCCATGGTGTTTTGTATCTCGCATGGGAAAGAAGAGATAAACCATGAAGCCAAGCGCATCACTACGGCCGTCATGGTGGATCTGGAAGTGGTGTCTGTGGCATCAAGGGCAGCCTGCAATGCCATGTGGGAAATAATCTGCCCTTCAGAGACTATTGCTTTGAATTGTTGTCTCTTGTCCTCTGGGATGTCATTAATAAAGTCCATGAGTTTCCCGTAATTTCTGTGATCATATTTGGCCAATAGGGTCGCGTAGTTTGCCACTCTAAATTGTAGCATGGATGATGCATAAACTTTGTGGCCAAGTATGTCCATTCTTTTGCTGTCCTTGTCAGAGGGAGTGGACCGGAAATGCTGCTATTTGTTCTTTCGGTTGGCTGCTTCTACCACCAGTGAATTTGGTGCTGGGTGCATGAAAAGGAATTCTGAGACCCTGGACGATACATAGTATTTCCGGTCTGCCCTTTTGTAGGTAGGGGGTATGGTGGCTGGGGTTTGCCAGATATTCTTGGCAGGGTCCATAATGGCTCCATTAATAGGTAGGGGGATCTTGGAGGAGGTCGAAGGCTGTAATATGTTGGTCAGCTCATGCTGAGTCCCCGACACCTCCACCAGAGTGATCTTGAGCTCATTCGCCACTCTTTTGAAGAGGTCCTGAAAATGAGTAAAATCATCTGTTTTTGCTGGGGGTGGGGACATTATAGTCTCTTCTGGTGAGGTGAATGAATTATTATTATTATTTGGGGAGGCTTCAGGTGCCTCCTCGTTTGCATGCACTGTTGCAGGTTGCTCCTGTCCATCCATCTCAGAAGCGTGAACAGGTACAAGAGGAGATCTAATGTCACCTCTGCATGGGCTGTGCCAGCTAACGTGGTGCCTGGTGTAGGACCCCCATGGGTTCTAATAATGCCATTGTCCAGGGAAGGGCATGGGTGGTCCCATCCAGGGGTGTCCATAACTGGGTGGTAAGTCCCTGGAATATGAGGACCTTGGTCTCCATGGTCCCATGCTAGTAGGAATGTGAAGAGGGGAGAAATAGTATGGTGAATAAACTCCCTCCATTTTGTTGTCCCCATCACTAGAAAAGTGAGAGGGAATAGGGGATAGCTGTCAGTGCCGTGACAACTGTGCCGGTGAGAGATCAGTACCAAATAATGGAGAATCTGACGTTGGCAAGATTAGCAAATCACTGGAATGAATTCAGCGGGTGAGGCAAGCACCATGCATGTGTGGGCCCATGCAAATACTGCTGTAAAAATCTCCGAGCGAAGGTACAGGGGCACACCAACACCTGGAGTGGAGCACCCACAGGGACATCTCTCGAAGAAGAACTAGAAATGCTAGTTAATAAATACAACTATGACAGCTGGCATTGAAGACTTGGTGGGATAATACACGACTGGAATATTGGTATAGAAGGGCACAGCTAGATCAGGAAGAACAGGCAGGGAAAAAAGGGAGGTGGTGTTGCCTAGTATATAAAACAATGTATACAGTTGGATTGAGGCTGAGATGGAAATAGGAGACAGACTTGTTAAAAGTCTCTGGGTAAGGATAAGAGGGGTAAAAAAAAACAAGGGTGATGTGATGGTAGGGGTCTACTCCAGACTTCCTAACAAGAAAGAGGAGGTGGATGAGGCTTTTTACAAGCTAACAAAATCATCCAAAGCACAGGACGATGTCCCCCATCACCGTCATCTACCCAGACATTTATTTTTTTTGTGGGGGGGGGGGGTTGAAACCCAGCAGGGCACAGATCATCAAACCAGTCTTGGAATGTATTGGAGACCATTTTTTATTCAGATAGTGAAGAAAGCCACTAGGGAAGAGGCTGTTCCAGATTTGATTTTGACCAATAGGGAAGAACTGGTTGAGAATTTGAAAGTGGAAGGCAGCTTAGGTGAAAGTAATCATGAAATTATGAGTTCATGATTCTAAGGAATGGTAGGAGGGAAAACAGTACAATAAAGAAAATGGATTTCAATAAGGCAGACTTTAGCAAACTCAAGGAGTGCGTAGGTAAGATCCCTTCAGAAGCAAGCCTAAGAGGAAAAACAGTTCAAGAGAGTTGGCAGTTTTTCCAAAGAGACATTATTAAGGGCACAAGAGCAACCTATCCCACTGCATAGGAAAGATAGGCAGTATGAAACCACTGGGGCTTAACCGGGAGATCTTCAATTATATGAAACTCAAAATTTAAGAATCCTACAAAAAGTGGAAACTAGGTCAAATTACAAAGGATGAATATAAACAAATAACACGAGTATGTAGGAACAAAATTAAAAAGGCCAAGGCACAAAATGAGATTAAACTAGCTAGAGACAAAGAGAACTAGAAAACATTCTACAAATACATTAGACGCAAGAGGAAGACCAAGGACAGGGTAGGCCAATTACTCAAATGTGGGGGAGGGGTGAGGGGAGGAGGCAGAGAGAATAACAGAAAATGTGGAAATGGCAAAAGTGCTAAATGACTTTTTTGTTTCAGTTTTCACCAAAACGTTTAGTAACAATTGGACATCTAACTTAATGAATGCCACTGAAAATGAGGTAGGACCAGAGGCTTAAATAGGGAAAGAAGTTAAAAATTACTTTGACAAGCTAGATGTTTTCAAGTCACCAGAACCTGATGAAATACATCCTAGAATGCTCAAGGAGCTAACTGAGGATATATCTGAGCCAGTAGCGATTATCTTCGAAAACTCCTGGAAGATGGGTGAGATTCCAGAGGACTAGAAAGGGGAAAATATAGTGCCAATCTATAAAAGGGGAATAAGGACAACCCGGGGAATTAGACCAGTCAGCTTAACTTCAGTACCCGGAAAGATAATGGAGCAATCAATTTGCAGACACCTAGAAGATAAGGTGATAAGTAACAGTCAGCATGGATTTATCAAGAACAAATCATGTTAAACCAACCTAAGCAGCTTTCTTTGACAGGGTAACAAGTCTTGTGGATAAGGAAAAGTAGTAGATGTGATATATCTTGACTTTAGTAAGGCTTTTGATACTGTCTCAATAAAATTCTCATAAACAAACTAGGGAAATACAACTTAGATGGAGCTACTATAAGATGAGTGCACAACTGGTTAAAAAACAGTTCCAGGAGTGTAGTTATCAGTGGTTTCCCAGACAAGCTGGAAGGGCATATCAAGTGGGGTTCCCACAGGGATTAGTTCTGTGTCCGGTTCTGTTCAATATCTTCGTCAATGATTTAGATAATGGCATATAGAGTACACTTATAAAGTTTGCAGATATCATGCTGGGAGGTGTTGCAAGTATTTTAGAAGATAGGATTAAAATTCAAAATGATCTACATACTCGTGGTCTACATACATCAACTCCAGTCCTTTCCAGAGTAGGTGTATGAACTGCTGTAACACTACAGACGAAATTGGGAGAGAAAAGGGAGACTGATGATCTGAATTTGAAAGACAGACTCCAATGTAGCTGGAAAATATTTTGACTAGGATGCAGAAATGAGGGGAAAAAAAATATTCTGAAGTCCTGAGATACTAGAGATTACTATCAGCAAGCTGTAGCCACAGCATGTCAACAAAGACCTGCCTGAGCCAGACAGCCTTATGCCGGGCTGCCACTAAGTCTACTAGCAAGGAGTTAAAGGCCATGAAAGCCTTCTACCATTCTCAGTTCAAGGAGTGAGATATTCCTCTCATTGAGAGGCTGGTATAGGGACTGAAAAGGTGATGCTCTCAATGAGGCAGGCTAGAAACAGATGCTGATGGCAGCTTCTGCCTTGGCCAATTACCCTGAAAGTTTCATCCCTACAGAACAGAAGCCAAGTAAATAAAGGAATAAAGGAAATGGAGGAACTGGACAGCTCATCCACTAAAGGGACCAAACTAGAATAGTCCTATCTTTCAATTGGTTGAAGCTGATGCCTGTATAGCTGAATGGGAAAATTCACCATCCACCACCAACTTGATGTAATATGATGCAAAACACACTTTGAAGAGGTGGTCTGATATTCCTATGGCTAGCATAAACATTCAGAATCTTCTTGGACATAACAGAAACAAGGAAGAGACAACTTCAGCATTTTGCTTTCAATAGAATCTTAGTATCAAGAACACTAATGGTGTCGTTTCTTTAAACCGAAAGTTAAACTAATAAGTCAAAACACAATCATACCTTCTGTTGGAGCCTATCCCAATTGAATTGATCTTAATTAGAAAAAGTACCAAGGAATGGGTGATAGGGTGGAAAAAAGCAGAGTACAATAACTCACCTTCTTGTCTCTGGTCCTTACTTCCCCATAAAAATCTAGAGCTTCTTGAGCCTTTAAAAACTTGCCTCGATGCAACAAATATGCACAAATCATTACACCAGTTCGTCCCTTTCCAGCTTTACAGTGAATTGCCGCAACATGATTGTCATCTTCACTCAGCCATTGGTCAAGATCTTCACAAAAAGGTTTGATAAGCTCTAGCTGTGGTGGGTTATGGTCTTCAAAAGGATACTGTGCAACTGTGATAGGAAGACAAGATTTACAATGAAGTCTCAAATTTAATGCATTTTAACTAGTTTAACCAGAGAGGTTAACGTTACAAAATGCATATCATGCAATTAACAGTCTAAAGAGGTAACTGAATAGGTTAAGTGGTCTGACAGAAGTACCGTAATGATCGATTCCAGAAAGGTGGTATACAAGATGTGGAGCACATGCCAATAGCTTGGCCCCTCAAATTTCAGCAAATTCCCAATTATACATACTCTTAATGTCTTACTCAATAGAGCAATTTTGCTCGTATCTGACAATGTGTCTTATAGCAATCCATCATCCCAGAAGTGGTCTTATACCAGAACCTATTATTACAAAAATGTAGGGTTAAGCCAGGCCCACTGATCAAATGAGGCAATTCTGCTGAAGAGTTCTGAGATTACAGTTTACCCTATTCCAGGGACTGGACTGGTTATGTCCACATAATTAGTTCCAAGAGGCTCTAAAATACGTGTAATAATACGTAATCATAACTGCTAATTGTAAACAAACCAAAAAACCACACACCCAGGCATTTGTTATTATTTTAACAGTAAAACCCCAAAACATTTCAATTTTTCAGAGAGAAATAAGCCATAACCAGGAGATTGCAGCAACCAAAAAACAAACACACCTATCTTGCAGTGTGTCAAACAAAAATAGATAATATCCATATTGCTGCTCAGTATATTTAGTCATACAAAGCTGTATTTTCTCTGCCCAACAGGATCCCTCACCGACTTTGAGGACAGACCGGCTCTTGTACAAATCACCACTCAGATCTAGTCAGAAACTGTCACCTTGGAAGCTCTCTCTCTAGTTTTGGCCAACAAAGAATGAATAAAGCATCCAATTTTGGGCAAGTCTTTTTTACTGGCTTGTCATACATTCAGGTTATGTAAATTCCTTTGGAAGAGACAGTTTAGGTCATAAGAGCAGAAGAAAGATGACGATTATGGTTGAATCATGAAATTCTTTTAGCAGAAAATTATGGTGCAGTGCAGAGTACTATTTTGTCTGGAACAAATGTAAGGACGATTTATAGGCTCATAGCACAGGACATCCACTTGGTCTTCTGGAAGAGCAAAAAAACCCCAAATAACTGACAAAAATGAACAAAAATTGACATGGCTTTAAAAGGAGGGTCCATGACACTTCACAACTAGATTCAGATTCCATCAAAGCAGCAGAAATGAGTGCTAGTCTTGCAAACTACCCCAATGTAAAAATGCACCACTATGCTTCGTTTCACATGGAAGACTGAGTATTCCTAAAATGGCCACCTCCATGTGACGATTACAGTCTTAGGCCCTTTAAACAGCTGTATAAAAGGAAACTGAAGCAGTCCTTTAACCACTACCAACATGACATGAGAGATATCTCAGAATATTGCCACCAAAATTTGGAGGTAGATTCCATTTTAGATGAGAACCAGCCAAGGTTCCCTCTGGAGAGAAAGCCACAGAGGAAGTCCTGGAAGAAAGTTCCAAGAGAAGAACAGCTTGTTGGGGACGCTCTCCAGGGACTAGAGCTGAGTCAAGGCTCACATGGTTCCTTGCCGAGAAGGAGCCATAGGCCTAGGAAGGGCTCAGCTGAAGATTCCAGAGAAGGCCTAAGGCTAATGTATGAAATGGATCTAGGAAAAGTGGACAGTCTGGAGTTTGGGATGGCCAGGTGATTCCCAGTTCAGAGACCCAGGGCAAGGGCTAGATCCTAAAGTAGTTGGGAGGGCCCAGGCTCCTCTACACCACCTACCTAAAGACTGTGGGAAATCCCTACACACTGTCAAGAACTGAGGAAAGTTGAGGCATAAGACGGGTGAAAGACAGCTTGATCCCTGAAATAAGGAGAGACAATCCTGATAGGAAAGGACTTAAAGGTTACACAAACCCTAGGCAAAGGGCTATGGGTCCACAGGGGGTCGTGGTCTTGTTCTGGATAGCTTTTCATTTTGTTTTGGACTTAGTTTGCCCCACAAGGAAGATACTTGATTTGGCTGACAACCCACCGTCTGAATATCAGACATCTTCGAGGTGCTTCATGTTGGGCACCCAAAATCACTTCTCATTTCTGAGAACCTTCATTACTAAAGCTTCCTCTTCTCCTAGGGAAAGGCAAAGTGTATAGAAGAAGGGGAGTCTAAGAGTCACTTTCTCAGATATCAGAGGTGGATTATTGTTTTTGTGATGAAAGGGAAAAGACAAAAATAAAAAAGTAATGCAACTCTAACTGAGCAATCTCAGCTAAGGCAGGATAGAGCAACTGGGATGACACATAAATATTCAACTGTGTTAAGGACTCTTCGTAATATTCTAGGAGTAAAAGGATTTCAATAAATCAGTGATTTCTGAAATGTAAGTTTCTTCTTCATAATGCAAAATAAAAATGAAAGCAATGATGACATCTGGCCATGTGTTGTTAAAGGCCCATCCAACTTCATTTATGCATAACTCCCTCCTACTCTTGGAAGTCCTGGAATCTATCTTAACAGAATGCTTCCTCTCCTTACTTAACTATTTCACTGATTGTCAAAGCATGTAAGAAAGATGACATTTAAAGGATCACAAGTGACATCTGAGTTAGCACTCACTGAAATGAATGGGGCAGTTTAAACCTCTCATCTACTGTTTTCTGCCTCTCTGTAAACCCAGGCAGACACTGCAGTTTAAACCTCTCATCTACTGTTTTCTGCCTCTCTGTAAACCCAGGCAGACACTGCAGAATCAGTTAAACTCTGTGTTTTGATGGCTTCCTCTGCAACCGTAACAGCTAGAGATTTAGCTTCTACTAAAACATTTAAACAGACTCAAGAAAATGATTGAGAGTTCTGTCCATGCTCCCCAGTTGGGGCACACACCCCACACTTTGGAAAATTTTGGAACAAACACTAAAGGAGACTATACCACTGACTAGATAAGAAAGGTACTGGAGATCCTAGTGAACTTAGACTGGAGTCCCAAGGATTACAGCTGCAGCATGGCCCATTAACACTAAAATCCACTCTGTTAGATAACATGCTGGAGGTGCTTCCCTTTAGAGCGCCATCTGAAGCGAAGTAAGCTCCTTCAAATGCTCTTAGATCATCCATATTGAAGAGCTTCTATTTATCTATTCACCCATTCTATCATACCCATTCTGAACAATGGTATGAAAGTGAACTACTAATGCACGGTGTCCAGAGAGATTCCTCTGCCAATGCTACCATGCAGGAATCTAGAGCCACCACTAGAGAAAAGTAAGCGACATTAGTTTACTTTCAGCAGGTTTCCTGCCAAAAGACTTTGGTTAACTAAGGGTCAGAGGCAGAATTCTCAGTAGCACCCAAAACATCGCCTCATTAGCTGGAAAAGCTCCAAGTCAGAGTGACACTGAGCTGCCCCATTTAAACAAAGGCAGAATACTGAAGTGTTATGTAGTTTCAATTCCCTATATAGGGGAAGCCTTGATTCCAGAACTTTCTGGCAGAGCTGCCTGTGGATATAGCTACACTGCAATAAAAGACTCACAGCATGGCTGTGGCTGGCCTGAGTCAGCTGACTCACGCTGATGAGGCTGGTGTTGCAGGGTTAAGAATTGCTGCATAGACTTTCAGGCTCAGACTGGAGCCCAGGCTCCAGCCCAAGCAGGAACGTTTACACTGCAATTTTTAGCCTCGCAGCCCAAGCCCTCCAAACCCAAGTCAGCTGACCTGGGCTCTGAAACTTGGTGCCACGGGTTATTTATTGCAGTGTAGATGTACCTTCTGACCAGTAAGCATGGCTTATTCTCCATTTTCATTCTATGGACTCTTCTATATTAGAAAGGACCTTTGTCTCAATTTCAGTAAAAGTCCCCATTTTTGGTAAAAATAAGTGTTGATCAAATTAAATGGAGTACTTCATAGTTTGGTTTAAAATCAGTTTTAAGTCATAACCTCAGGCTTACACACTGAAATTTCAACTATTTGTGTTCTTAGCCCATGATAGATAATTGCTAAGAATATACTTTCTATACAGTGTCAAGCACCACAGTAAGCTTCTCATGAAGGAATCTTAAGTTATGTTAATACCATTCTTCTCTCTCCCCCCAAACATTACATTAATATGACAGTTTTACTTTGTTCCTTAGTTCAGAAAAATAAAAGGAGAAATTGGAAGGGGAAAAAAAGCTAATAACCTAGACAGCACAAACATACCTCTGCAGTTAAATTTGGCGGTGTCATAATGTCTTTCAGCACATCTAAAAAGAAAAGATTAAAGTTCAACATAAGTATGTTAGGTAAGTTTAAGGTGTCTATCACACTTTTGTATGTAAGGATCAGCATATGAAAGCCAAGAAAAAAACCTTAAGTCCACATCACCTTTATAGCTCAACACCACAGCTAGACTTGGTCCATGAAATTCAGAATATTTTGTTTTAAAATATATTGGTTAAGTTGCTATGGCAAACTCAAAAGATTTTGCTGAAAAATAATGGTTACCCTACAGTAACTGATTCTTTGAGATGTTGTAGTCATTGTAAATCTCCCTTTAAGTATGCATATGCTTCATGAGCAAGATTAGACTTTTTGGAATAGCTGTGTTCATCAAGGTCATGCATACACCCTGTTCTCTTTTGCTCCTGTACAAGGGCATAAAGGGCAGAGTGGCTGTGACTCTCCCTCAGTTCCCCCACATTTTGAAACTTGCGGTAGCTGAAGACACTGAAAACAGGGAAGGAGGATGGATTATAGGGGCCACACAGACATCCTCATCTCGAAGAACTGCAGGGTAAGAAAAACTGTTCAAGTATGTCAGTGTGGATCCCACCGCAGGTGACAGGCAAGTAGTACTCCTTCTGGAGGGTGAGAAGGAATACCAGCTGCATCAGTTGAACAGTGCTGTCCTGAACTTGCCATCTGCCCTTGTGGCTAAGTCCAACGCACAAATGTTTGGTGAAGATCAGTGGTTACTCTATGTCACTGCCTTGCACATTTCAGAAACTGGCACACTTCTGAAGCAGGTGGAGAATGTCACTTGAGCTTTGGTGGATTGAGCCCTGATGCTGTGACACGCATGTATACCAGCCAACTGGAAACAATATGAGATACATTGTATCAAGTATCAGAGAGATAGCCGTGTTAGTCTGGATCTGTAAAAAGCAAGAGTCCTGTGGCACCTTTAAGACTAACAGATGTATTGGAGCATAAGCTTTCATGGGTGAATGCCCACTTCTTCGGATGCATGTGAAGAAGTGGGCATTCGCCCATGAAAGCTTATTCTCCAATACATCTATTAGTCTTAGAGATACATTGTGTTATACACATAGATATTCTCTGAGTGGAGATGGCTTGGCCTTTGGAATGACCAGTTATTGCCAGAAATAAGTGGGTAGACAATTTGAACTACTTAGTTCAATCGATGTAGTAAAGCAATACTCTGGAAACATCCAGTGTGTAACTTCTCTTCCAGTATAGAGTGGGAATTTGGAAAGAATACAAGTTAACTGAGTTCCATCTGAATTGGAGGCCACTTTGGGGATGAACTTTGGGTAAGGTTTCAACACCACCTTGTCTCTATGAAAGATTATATAGGAAGGATCAGCCATAAGCGCTCAGAGTTGAAGGAATAGAGTAAGTAGGAATGCAGTCTTCACAGTGAGATGAAGGAAAGAGCACTCTGACAGGGTCAAAGAGAGGGCCCATGACCATGACTCAAGAGGAAGACCATGCATAACTGTACCAGTAGATGGGTAGCAGAGATCGCTGCAAGGGGGACCTTAATGGAACTGAACTCTAGGCCAGAGCATTTTAAAAGGTAGGCAGCAAGGAGCTGAGGATCTTTGATGGTATAGCCTGCAGAGTGAAAGTTATGTTGGGCCACACATCAAAAACCTTTTCCATTAAGACAAGTGTTTCTAGTAAATGTCATCCTGCTTTGTAAAAGGATACCCTGAACTTGCTATCTATGGTACTTAGCCAGCCAACATCCAGCCTGTCAGATGTAGTAACATCAGGTCTGAAGTGTATGACTGTGGTACTGCGATATCTAGTCCAGGCAGTATGGCAGCTAAGCAAGCAACTAAACAGACATCTGTAGCAGGTCTGTCAGCCAAAGCTACCCTTGCCAGTAGGGAGCTATGCAAATGATGATGGTTCTGACTCATTTGATTTCAGATATCACCGTGAGGGACCAGGAGAATCAAAGAAAAGGCACACCTCAATTCCACTGCAGAATGAAGGTGTCTCGTAAAGAGCCCAAGCTCATGGCCCCTCTAGAACAAAAGTTCTGACACTTGGTGTTGTGCTTGGAGGCAAAGAATTCTCTCCCCCAACAATGGAATATCTGTTTTATGATGGACCTCTTCAGTGACCACTTATGATTGTTACCAGTTTACTCAAGAAGTCCATCAGACTGTTGTGGACACCTTGGATGTGAAGAGCCATCAGGGTGATCCTGTATTGATGGCTCTATGTCCAAAGTTTGATGACTTACAGAGGGGTGATGAGATGGCAATTCACAGCTTGTTTATACAATGCATTGCTGAGGCATAGTCCATCAGGAACTACACTGGAATTTTGGAGGACAGCGCTTGTATGTCATTCCTACCTAATATGATGGCTCTGAGTTCCAGGATGTCTGAGTGAAGTCTCAGGTCTCCTGAGGACCGCCATTGTATTTGCAGGTGGTCTAGCTGAATTCCCCAATACCCATGATTAGTGTCTATGTCAGGGAGGGAGCTGGAGAACAGTACTATGCTCCTTCATGTTCTTGGGTTTTAACATCCCAGTTCTGCAAGAACGTGAGGTGGTACTCAGACCTTCTGGTGTTTTGGTAGAGCGCAGACCGATCTCAGCCAGAATTATAAGGGTCACAAGTGAAATCTGATAAGCAGTGTCATGTACACACATGCCAACATGTGGTCCAATATACCAAGGCAAGCATATATGTCATAGACTGGTTTTATCTTATCTCAGTAGCAGCCCTCACAACAACAGGTACTTGTCTTTGTGCAGATATGCCTTCTCTGGCTTGGAACAGATCATAGCTCCTATAAACTCTATAATCTGTGATGGGATGAGAGTTTTTTCAAAGCTCACCATGAGATCTAAGTCAGGAAAAAGGCGGAGAGAAAGCATGTGCATGTATATATTCTAGGCTTGTTGCTGTCTCCTGCTGGGATCTGCTTCTGATCAGCCAAGTGTAAGGGTAGATGTGGATCCTGTCTTCTCAAATGGGCCGCCACCACCACCACTCCCCACTAGGTATTCTGTGGAGATTCTCGATACCGTGTAGGGTCTGAATGGCAGTACCTTGTACTGGTAGTGATTTGGCCCCACTGTGAACCTCAAGTACTTCCTATTGGCCAGGTTGATAGCTATGTGGAACTACATGCCTTGCAAGAGGACAGCCAGATCCAGTCCTGAAAAGATGAAATGATGGAGGCAAGGGTTACCATCCTGAATCTGAGGTGGCATATCTATCTGTTCAGTCTCCTCAGGTCTAGGATAGGACCCCTTTCCTCTTCAGGATAAGAAAGTATCAGGAGTGAGTCTCTTCCTCTGTACTTCTGAAGTATCTCCTTCCTCTGCTCCTAGATGAAGCAACAAGGCCAACTTTTTTTTTTTCTTAAATAGGCTCTCATGCAAAGTCTCTCGAGGGACAGGAAAGGGGACCAGGTAGGGAATACGGTGTGGAAATGAACAGGGTAGCTGTTGGTGATGATCAATACCTGCTTGCCTGTTATACTAGAACTAAACCTAAGGACTACAATGGGCAGCTCCTCTAGTATAATGGTCTTTTCCTTGGCAGATACTTAAGTTGTCTGCTCTAGGAGAAGGAAGGTGCCTCTTGCTGAGCTTACTATTTGTATTGTTTCTGATAGAAGCGAGTGTATAGATAGATCCCTTAACGTGGCCCAGGAGTCCTTCAGTAAATGGGGTGCTTTCTCTGTTCTGCATCTAAAAGAGTTCCATCCCTTCAAAAGGCAGGTCCCTCTCTGGCGGCTTGCACCTCTTTCGGGAAGCCTGAATGCTAGCAGTCATTTCAGGATAACTGATACTAGCAATCATAAGGTTTTCTTCATGGTGACAGCCATGGTCATTGATCTCAAACCATATTTGGATGCATATTTGCAATGCTCTTCTGACCACCACCTAGCCCTTTTATAATCCATTTCAGTTCCACCCCTTTCTCCTGGAGAATTTCAGACAGAAGTAATTTATCTTTCCCAGCTGAGGAAGTTACATTTTGCGAACAGGGCTTGGTAGTTCACAATGCAGAGCTGCAATGAGGTGGAAGAATACCTGTTGTGTTTGAAGAGGTACAGGTTTTTGGTTTTGGAGGGGTTTTTGTTTGTTTGTTTGTTTTTTAAGTCCTTTTCCTTTGATGTGCCTTTTATGAGCATAGACTTCTCTTGTACTGCTGATACCACCAGAGACCCCAGAGTTTAGAAGTGTTCAAAGCCTTCTGAAATCACCCGTTATCTCCTTTCCACTCATATACACGTATAGGGCAAAGTTGTCAGGGTCTGCCATAGTACCATTGACAGCTCAAGTATGCCCTCATTGATTGGGAGGGTGATCCTGGCAATGGTTGTAAAGCTTAGTATTTCAAATAGCTTTTGGGATTTTTACTGGATTACTGTGATTTCAGTATCCTGGGTCTCTGTAATCCAGGCCAGGAAGCTTTGAAGTCCTGTTACCAAACTAGTGGTGATGATGATTCCCTAAGGTACAGATTGAGGTGGCTGCTGTACCTCCATTGTCAAATGCTCCTGGAGATCAAAGTCTGACATGAGTGAATGGCCTGGCTAATGATGCCACTGTAGAGTGAAATCTTCTCTTCCTCAATGTGTGGGAGGGGGATCTACTTCAGTACACATGCAGTGATGGTACCAAACATGGCCAGTGCAGCGTTCTGTAAGGGTACTAGCCATGTTGAGGTTGGCCAGCTTAATGCCATCCACATCTTGCTAGGAGGGGGGAATTGGAGGGGGAGGGGGGGGGGGAGATATACTGAGAAATTGCCAGCATGTTTTTTTGTTTGTTTCTTTGTTTTTACGGAAACATCCAATTTGAAGAAATGGAGATGACAAAGTTCTTCACAGTTTGTTGTTAAAAACACAAGTTTTGAAGTTCTCAGAGTAGTGGGTTGGACAGTTGCTAGATTCCATCTCGCTGTCATATTTGATAAGAGGGAATGGTGGAAGGGCCACAGCTTATCCATCTTATGTAGTTGCACAGGAGTACAAAAAGGCACCAGGCGCGCACACAGCTTCAGACACCGCTATGCAAGATTTCAATCTCACGTATGAGGCACACTGACACTCAAAGTAGTAAATCTTACCTATTCTTTACTTATTTAGAATTTTACATGTTTCCATTTAAAAATCCAATTAGAAGTGTAATAAAATGTAAGACAGTAAACGAGCCTCTGAGACTTCAATTATTTTTTTTTATTCATCCAAGCTACAGCTGTGTTTTTGTAGCCAATCCTGCCATCAGGAATCCCTAGCAGCTTCAGTGGCTTTAAATTTTTGAAAAGTCACTTAAGCTTTAAAATGGCCATGATTTAACTTGCAACCAATTTGCACCTTCCTGGCTGTCATACAAACATGAGATATTATCCATCAACCTGCCTGACAGGTCTGAAGGCCACAGAGAAGGCAACAGCCTGTTTTCAGCATGTGGCTTCATGCCAGAGCCAACTAAACCCCAACCTTCCCCCATGTTGAGGAACTTTGCATAGAAGTAAGAGGACACACAAAGGAACAGCCTCACAACTAATTACTCAAAGGAGAAGACTGCAAGAAGCTGTGTACAAGTACAAAAGAGGTATACTAAAGAGGATCGGGAACAAAGGAGAGATTGGGAATAAAATGAGATTACAATTTTGGGGTGTATTAAAATAGAGGAAAAACTGAAAACATGGGTTAAATAAGAATACTGGAAACTACGAGCAAGTGGTTTAAGATGTTGGATACAAGAAAGTAAGAGTGAAAGACAGGAAAGAAAGAAAACAGTTACATTTACAAATATTTTCTAGGAAGTGAAATGCCAAATTGTTACAATAGGCTTTATCTGCACAGTTTGAACACCAATTTAACTAACATGGTTTAGAAACCAAAAGTTAAATTGATGCACCTGTCTAATGTAGATACTATTTGAGATTTCATACAACAAACTACATTAAAACAACTTTGAGGTTGCAAAGTCAAGCACTCAAAGTTCAGATATACCATTGTTATGATAGTCTAATTACATGATCAAATTTTTTCCACAGGACTCCAGCTCATTTTTTTCAATACTCATGTAAGAAAATTAGTACGGTCAACAACTTTGCTCATTTTTAAATTAAAAGTTAGTAACTACAATGGGAAGGAATGTCTTGGGGACTGATATACATACATACATGCCATAACTAACATGCCCCTCAATGGTGCCCAAAAGCTAGCATTTGATCCTTTTCCTACCTTGGGGACAAACACTGTGCTGAATTACCCCCTTTATAATCCTACTTAAATTTATGATTACCTAGTGTAAGCGTTTGTACAGATTTTCTTCACATAATAAGAATTAAGAGATTTCCTGGATTCTCTACACAAATGAGTGGCATTTACAAAGTACGTTTACCATGGCTGTAGAGTCATTTTATTCTGAACCTGTTCCCAATCACTTCACGTTCGGGGGGGGGGGGGGGAAGGAGGAGGAGAAGGAAGAAGAGAGAGAGAAGGAGAACTCTTTAGGCACATTTTTCACTTGAAAGCCTCATCCAAAGAGTAAATTTGGTGATTCTGGGACATTATTAAGTCACCTGCACCAGTCTTGAGTTAACCACGCAGGGAAAGAGTGAAATGTGTGTCTTGTAAGGACACAAAAACAAGACTTTTTTTATACTCCTATAACTGAAAAAGACTTACATTTCAACTTCAAAAACTTGCCAGAAAGTTGAATAAAAGCCTCTGACACATTAACAAATTTGGTTCATAAATACAGTAGATAACATTAGAAAATCTGGAATGGCATATTGGCAATATACATATATCAAAGGCTCTTGTTCCCTTAATACAGAGAAAAAACAATGGCTCTTATCACATCCTCCTCATTTTTAACCCCAAAGTTTTAAAGAGTAATCGTTTCCTCTTCTTTACCATCTACTAGCTCTGTGCCTCCAACTTTACTTTAACCATCTACATATTTAAAAAGTTTTTCCTCACCTCTTCCATACAAATTCTTGTATGCTGACCTGATTTAGAAATTATAACACTTCTAGTGTTTTTAACCTGTCACTATTTGTGCCAGTTTCAAATGACATGCTCGGTACTGAGCAGTTCAACACTCCCTGATCTTGTGACTAATATCAAAGCCACACCTCACTAAAAACTGATAGTCTTAAGAAGCAGGAAGTTAGTTATCCTATTTCACATTTTTCCAGAAAAAAAACTGGCTCCGACAAATAGGATTTGGGGGCCAGAGGGGATGGAAGGATAAAAAAAATCCTTCACTCAATCTTGACCATTCCGATTAGAGACCAGCAAATCTGCAGGTATCCGTGGATGTGGGTATCCACGGACCATTTTTGCGGATCACACCACGGATGTGGATATAAATCTGTGTCTCCCCACAGGGCTCTGCAGCACACACTCACCCAAACAGAGCGGCTGTCACCCAGCCTGCAGGCTTCAACTCAGCTCTCTGAATCATGCAGCAGTGTGTTGGACATTCTGGGAGTTGTAGTCCCCAGCTTGCTCAGAAAGAGGAGGTAAACAACAACTCCCAGAAAGTAGTGAGCCAAGCACCATTTTGAAGGTGAGGTTGGCAGGCAGGCGGCAATGACTGCGTGCATTAGAGCTGCCGTATCTGCGTAGGGGTGTTCAAGCCCCCCATGGGGAGGGCGGCACTGCATAGAAGGACCCAGATTTGTAGCCTCCCTGGCTGGGGCAGGGAAGGAGTTACTGCAGGGGCAGAGTGGGCAGCAGGTCTCTAGGGAGAAGTGGAGCTGGGGGGTAGGGGGATGGTTGGGGGCTTGACACAGCCCTGTGTCACTGCTGCACAGTGACCTGAGGAGCTGTTTAGAGCCCTGCAAATCTGCGGATATCTGCGGCTCGCAGATCGGATGCAGATACCTTTTCATATCTGCACAGGGCTCTAATTCTGATTCAAGAGCTATTCAACAAATTATCATTTTAAAATAACTAAAACCAAACACACTTGAAATGCAACCTGATGACTATGATAAGCCCTCCCCTTGATAATTATATTTTTAAAATATCAGAATGTACACTAAAGCCCTCTAGCTTTGGGTGACCAGGTTGAACTGCAGAAGGAGTGAAGTGGCGATAGATACCCAATAAATACCTAGTTAGCGCTTTAAGGCGGGAAGAGTATATTCAAATGTCTTATCAAGTGCTTTTAGAAATACTTTCACTTTTAGCTGTGAATAGAATTGGCACATCTTTCAGTGGGAGGTTAGATTCCGATTAGGTTGCCTTCTGAACAATTTACAGGCACAAGAAAAGAATCTCATTACTGGACTGTATGATAAACTGCTTTCAAAATTGTTCAAGTTGTATTATTTTAATATATAGTTTGGTTAACATCAATAAATTTCCCACCTCCCATCTTTAAAGGTCAATCTTATAGCAACTTTTAAAAAAGCATTCAATTTCTTGTTAATTTTAATGTTATGTACATCTAGAGTCTTAACCTATCTTCATCTATGTCAAGATAACAAATCCAACAGGCACCTATTTTTATTCTGAGGCACATTTACATTATTTTTAATGATTTACTGTTTACAGTGTGGACTGATTTATTGGACTGATTTTATTATCAACAAAAAGGAAGAAAAATATATAGGATTGCGCAAAATAAAGCTTTGAGAGGCTCAAAATAGATCAACCAACTTCCAGGGTAACTCCTATTAAGTTTTACTTTTTCCTGCACCTCATTTTTGAAACACATATATTCGCAAACTTCAGCTGAAAACAACATAACATTACTGTACATTTCAGAATGCAGAAAAACTCAGGATCAGGTTTAAAACAAAAGGAAAAAAGACGACAGAGGAGATAATTAGCAAAATCCTACAAAATATTTTGATAATAGATAAATGTATGTATAACTACTCAATCCACAGAAGTAAGCATTGTACCTATAAAACTAAGGCAAGCTCAACTGTTGCAATAACTTATTCAAAGTTGCACATAGGGATAGCAAGAGTTCATGTAGATGCAAAATAGAGCTGTTTAAATAAAGTGTATGCTACTGATACAGTGCTATATAAATAAATAAATTTCAGAACAACAGCAGATATCTATTTTGCAGTTCCATCACTGAAGATGTCATTAATGTATTACCAGAAACCATGATGTGAATTACTTCTGAATTTACCACATGGTTACAGGATCTAAAATGGGCTGTATGCCATGCAATTTAAAGTAGATCAAGTAACACGAGCCCATACAAGCATTCCATGTAATTTCTTCATTACACTTTACTAAATGAAGTAACAGTGCTCTCAATTAGTTTTCTTGAAATAATTGTTTTAATAAATCTGTAAAACAGTATGTTCAGTTATGTCCAAGCATAAAAAGAAACCATTTTCACTCATGAGCTATGTTTATAACATTGTTTTGAAAGGTGTAGATATAAAAGTATACTTACAGATTGTATATCTTGTAATGGTTTTTATGTTTTGAATCCAAAAACCTTAAGAGAGAAAAGGCAATTTACATAAATGTATTTTGGCTATTACTGTTTCAAAGATATTTTAATATATTTACAATACAAAAAACGTTTTCATATGAATTTCAAACTAAGCAGTTTTGAGTTTGAAATTCAGGCTATTTCCCCACAATATCTCTTGAGAGACAGTGATGGGGCACAACCCTGCACGCCTTGCTCATATAAGTAGCCTCACTAGCATCAACAGGACTACTTGTATAAGTGAAGGCAGCAGGTTTTAGGCCCATATAGTTAGTTACAAAATGTATTTTTAATATTCATGCTCCACTTGTCAACAATATAGATTTTTTTTAAACTTGTATTACTGCGTTTTAGTTTTACATTTTTTACCAGAAGGATTTCTAGTTACCTATTTCAATAAAAATAATTGCTATAATTATTACTTCCAATGTAATCATGTACACAGAATATTTACCAGAAACATATCTTATGCGCTTCTCTATAAAGTTTACTGATGCGCCTGTACTGATACACCAATCAAGTATAAATATCATAAGAACACAACAAGCTATACTGGGTCAGACCAATGCTCCATCCAGCCCAGTATCCTGTCTTCCTACAGTGGCCCATTCCAGGTGTTTCAAAGGGAGTTAACAGAACAGATAAACATCCCATTGCTCATTCCCAGTTTCTGGTAAACAGAGGCTAGAGACACTTAAGAGTTTTGCATTCCTGCCCATCCTGGCAAATATTCTCGGATAGACCTGTCCTCCATGAATTTATCTAGTTCTTTTCTGAACCCTGTTATAGTCTTGGCCTTCACAAAATCCTCTGGCAAAGAGTTCCACAGGTTGATTATGTGCTGTGTGAGAAAAAAATACTTCCTTTTGTTTGTTTTAAAACCTGCTGCCGGTTAACACAAGAACTGGGGATCACCCAATGAAGTTATCTGAAGGAATAAACAACACGTATTTGTTCATTTTCTTCACACAATTCATGATTTTACAGACCTCTCATATTCCTCTATTCAAGGTCTCTTTTCAAAGCTGAACAGTCCCAGTCTTATTAATCTCCCCTCATATGGATGCTGTTCCATACCCCTAACAGTTTTTATTGACCTTTCATGTTCCTTTTCCAATTCCAATATACCTTTTTTGAGATGCAGGTGGTATTCAAGATGTGGGCATACCATGGATTTATACAGAGGCAATATGATATTTTCGTTCTTATTTATCTATCCCTTTCCTAATGATTCCCAACATTGTGTTAGCTTTTTTGACTGCCACGGCACATTGAGCAGAGGTTTTCAGAGAACTATCCACAATGACTCCAAGATCTTTCTTGAGCGGCAACAGATAATTTAGATCCCATCATTTTATATGCATAGTTCGGATTATGTCTTCCAATATGCATTTCTTTGCATTTATCAACATTGAATTTCACCTGCCATTTTGTTACCCAGTCTCCCAATTTTGTGAGATCCCTTTGTAACTCTTTGCAGTCTGCTTTGGATTTAACTACCTTTAGTAGTTTTGTATCATCTGCAAACTTTGCCACTTCACTGTTTACCCCTTTTTCCAGACCATTTATGAATATGTTGAACAATACTGGTCTCAGTACAGGCCCCTGGGGGACACCACTATTTACCTCTTTCCATTCTGAAAACTGATAATTTATTACTATCCTTTGTTTCCTATCTTTTAACCAGTTGCTGATCCATGAGACTACCTTCCCTCTTATCCCATGATAAGCTTATTTTGCTTAAGAGCCTTTGGTGAGGGACCTTGTCAAAGGCTTTCTGAAAATTTAAGTACATTATATCCACTGGATCACCCTTGTCCACATGTTTGACACCCCTCAAAGAATTCTAATAAACTGGTGAGGCATGATTTGTGTTTATAAAACTATGTTGACTCTTCCCCAACAAATCGTGCTCATCTATGAGTCAGATAATTCTGTTATTTACTATCATTTCAACCAATTTGCCAGGTACTAAATTTAGGCTCACCAGCCTCTACTTGCCAGGATCGCCTCTGGAGCCTTTTTTTTTTAAAATCGGTCTCACATTAGCTATCCTCCAGTCAACTGGTACGGAAGCTGATTTATGATAGGTTACAAACTACAGTTAGTAGTTCTGCAATTTCACATTTGAGTTCCTTCAGACTACCATCTGGTCCTGGTGATTTATTACTGTTTAATTTATCAATTCGTTCCAAAACCTCATCTAATGACACCTCAATCTGGGACAGATCCTCAGATTTGTCACCTAAAAAGACAGCTCATGTTTGGGAATCTCCTTCACACACTCAGCCATGAAGACCAATGCAAATTATTCATTTAGTGTCTCTGCAATGGCTAATCTTCCTTAATGACAGGTTTCAGAGTAGTAGCAAAAAGAACAGGAGTACTTGTTGGACCTTAGAGACTAACAAATTTATTTGAGCATAAGCTTTCGTGGGCTACAGCCTTAAGTGCTCCTGTAGCATATCATCCAGTGGCTCCATGTGTTGTTTAGCAGGCTTCCTACTTGTGAGGTACTTAAATTTCTTGCTGTTCCCCCCCCCCCCCTTCAATCTTGGGCTAGCTGTTGTTCAAATTCTTTTTTGGCCTTCTTAATTATATTTTTACACTTCACTTGCCCGAGTTGATGCTCTTTTCTATTTTTCTCACTAGGATTTAACTTCCACTTTTTGCCTCTCACTGCTTCTTTTATTTTGTTGTTTAGCCACAATGGCACTTTTTTGGCCCTCTATGTTTTTTAATTTGGGGGTATACCTTTAAATTGAGACTCTTATCATGTCTTTAAAAAGTTTCCATGCAGCTTGCAAGGATTTCACTTCTAGAACTGTACCTTTTAATTTCTGTTTAACTAGCTTCCTAATTTTTGTATAGTTCCCCTTACTGAAATTAAATGCTACCATGGTGGCCTGCTTCGGTGTTCCCCACCCCTCACAGGGAGGTTAAATTTTATTATGTTATGGTCACCAGTTCAGCTATACTCACCTCTTGAACCAGATCCCATGCGCCACCTAGGACTAAATCAAGAACTGCCTTTCCACTTGTGGGTTTCAGGACTATCTACTCCAAGAAGCAGTCAAGGTGTCAAGAAACTTTCTCTATGCATCCCATTCTGAGGTGATATGTACCCAGTCATTCTGGGGATAGTTGAAATCCCCCATTATTACTGAGTTTATTTTTATAGTCTCTCTAATCTCCCTGCGCATTTCCACAGTCACTATCACCATCCTGATCAGGTGGTCGGTAATATATCCCTACTGCTATATTCTTATTACAGCATGGAATTATTATCAATAGAGATTCTATAGTATAGTTTGGTTCGTTTAAGATTATTTCATTTGATTCTATGCTTTCTTTCACACACAGTGCCACTCCCCCACCAGTACAACCTATTCTGTCCATATATTTTGTACCCTGGTATTACGGTGTCCCATTGATTATCATCATTCCACTAGTGCAATTAAAAATCAAATTCCAAAATGGACTGAAATAGCCATTATTAGCCATTAACGCACTGCATAAGGAGTTCCAATTAGTACTTTGGGCACACAGAGGGAGGAAGGATGTTATTTTCCAATTATTTGAACCAGCATCACTTAAACAGCCATCAATCTCTAAAAATAGATTAAATTTTTTTCCAGTGCTAAAACGCTAATGATCATTTTGCAATATAATCCTCTACAATGTTACTAAAGTTTCAGATAGCAGCATGAAGATAAGAATACTTTGGGCTAAATTTGATACTTACACTGATTTAAGTGAGTGTCAATGTTAGACCGTTGTGTTTTTATAATGTGGTACAATCAAAATTCTCGAAGCCCTTCAAACCTGTTTCATCACATCCTCTTGATGTGGAGAGTACACTCATTTTAAAAGTTAAACAAGAATAGCTTTTATTTGTTTATTTTGGGTGGGTTTTTTTAAAGTGTTATTACCTATTTTACAGAAAGCACCATAAATTAATGAAACTGGACATTTTAAAAATAAATGTAATCTACTTTTCATAGACCACAGTTTAGGTAGAGCAGGGATCAGCAACCTTTCAGAAGTGGTGTGCTGAGTCTTCATTTATTCACTCTAATTTAAGGTTTCGCGTGCCAGTAATACATTTTAATGTTTTTAGACAGTCTCTTTCTGTAAGTCTATAATATATAACTAAACTATTGTTGTATGTAAAATAAATAAGGTTTTAAAAATGTTTAAGAAGCTTCATTTAAAATTAAATTAAAATGTAGAGCCCCCCCGGACCGGTGGCCAGGACACGGGCAGTGAGTGCCACTGAAAATCAGCTCACGTGCTGCCTTTGGCACGCGTGCCATAGGTTGCCTACCCCTGAGGTAGGCTAATGAATTTCACTTTGTTTCCCATTTCATTTTTATCTTCTCACACACTAGCACAAGTTTGGATTGTTTGAGTTGCAAAACCTAACAGGAATTTTGATCTGTTTTTAAAACAATACTAGTATTTTTTCTTATTAATCTTGGATTTTGTAAAAGTTTATTTAAATAAAAGTCTAAATTTGAGGTCAAATTTAATCTGACAGCTTCCCTCTAAGTGTCCCTCACTTACCACAGTCAATTGGAATTCGAGGAACAGAACCCACAGAATTATAAGTGATAAATTTTCTGAACTAAGTAGGAACAAGGTCAAGTTTTCCCTGCTTTGTTCAGGTCAGCTAAAGCACTGTCCAAACACCCTTCTCCCTCCTCCCCCCCTTAATGGTGGGGAAGGGGGAAGAGGAAAAAGTCTCTTTTCTACACTTCATGTAGCAGCTCTACGAGCTGAACTATAACCATGATACACCAAAAGTGCCGCTATTATATATGATGTGTCACCTGGCAATGTTCAATAAGAAACAACATACAAGTGTTTACACTTATCAACAAAGTGTGTTTGCACATCAGCCAGAATGAATTAAATTAGCCATGGCAGTACATGCTGTTCACATTGAAAAGAAACATGAGCTGCTAAAATCCTGGAAAGCTCAAGCAAAAACAAGCTCAAGT